CTCCTCTCACTGTAGTCCCTCGCCTCCCTCCCTCCCTCCCTCCCTCCTCGTCGCCCTCCTCCTCCTCTCCTCGGTACCCTCGCTCGTTTTTCGCTCCCCCTCCTTCCTTTCATCACTTGCGCTGAAACTTGGAGGTCCCAGGGCCTCGCAGATGTTGGAGGTTCTCAAGGGCGACTTGTGGGTTGACGTCTCGACCCAGTGGATGCGCATTGACATCAACATGATGAATCCTGACGAGAACTTGTTCGTCGGTGTGCAGGTGAGGCATCTGCAGCGGAAATCTGCTGCTGCTGCTGCTGCTGCTGCTGCTGCTGCTGCTGCTGCTGCTGCTGCTGCTGCTGCTGCTGCTGCTGCTGCTGCTGCTGCTGCTGCTGCTGCTGCTGCTGCTGCTGCTGCTGCTGCTGCTGCTGCTGCTGCTGCTGCTGCTGCTGCTGCTGCTGCTGCTGCTGCTGCTGCTGCTGCTGCTGCTGCTGCTGCTGCTGCTGCTGCTGCTGCTGCTGCTGCTGCTGCTGCTCATGCTGCTGCTGCTGCTCATGCTGCTGCTGCATCTTCTTGTTCTTTTCCTCCCCGTGAGGCGTACTGCAGTTTCTCATCACCTTGGAGAATACCGGCCTTGTGGTTCCGTCAATTTGGACCGCGGTCAACCAGCCTCCCTTCCTCCTTGCTTCCTCCTTCCTCTTTCTTCTTCCTACTCCCCTCCTCCCTCCTTGCTCCCCTCCTCCCTCCTTGCTCCCCTCCTCCCTCCTTGCTCCCCTCCTCCCTCCTCCCTCCTTTCTCTTTTCTCCTCTTCCTCATCTTCTACTGCCAGGCGATGCCGATTTCTTACTACAACTTCAAACAAAGCCAAGACATCGTACGAGCTGTCCTCGAGCTCATCACTATCCTGATCTGGGCCTTTCATTTCTTCCGCATGTCTCTGGTGATGATTCAAGACCTCTTCTTTCCTTCCTCTCCTGCCCTCCTCCTCCTACCCACCACCACCACCGCCACCGCCATCTCCTCTTCCTCCTCCTCCTCCCTCTTCCCCCCTCTCCTTTTGTCGAATCCTCTTCCCATCCTCCTCCTTTCCTTCCGCTTTCCTTCAGATCTCCTACATTTGAATTTCTTCCGCCCTACTCTCGATCCACCATCCATCTCTTCCTCCCGCTCTCACCGCTCCAATCTTCTCCTCTCTCCTTTGCTGCTTCTTGTCGCTGACGGCCAACCAGAATGTCGTCGCTTCCTTCCGCGACCGGCACCTGAGCTCCTTCATCAAGCAGTACAGCTCGAGACGGGAGGGAGATCTCCTCTATGAGTTTCAAATCGTCTTCTTCATCGTCCTCTTCGCTCTCTGGCTCAGCATCATCAACAACCCACTGAGAAAAGGTACCTAGCACTGCTGCTGCTGCTGCTGCTGCTCGTCCTCGTCCTCGTCCTCGTCCTCGTCCTCGTCCTTCTCCTCTTCCTCCTCCTCCTCCTCCTCCTCCTCCTCCTCGTTTTCTTATCCCTTGCTTGGTTCACCGCTGCGGTTGTTCTCTCACGCTCGAGTAGGGATTCAGGTCACCCCTGAGCTGCTGACGTGGGAGGGGCGCGAGGTCTTCCTCATGGACACGAGCATCGTCGCTCGAGCCTACTGGATCCTCAACGGGATCAACTCGCTGGTCTTCCTCCTCCGCTTCCTCGCCCTTGCCAAGGTCAACCCGAGGTTCTCCCTCCTCTCGGAGACCATGGAAAACATGGCATGGCAGCTGCTCAACTTCGCCATCGTCTTCCTTGTCTTCCTCTTCTTCTTCAGCATCGAGGCCATGATGATGTTCGGAGATAAAATCCCCGGCTTCTCCTGGTTCGGCGTCTCCCTCATCGAAGTGATCGGGATGGTAGTGGGAGGAGGAGGAAGCTCGACCAGCAGGAGGACAGGAGGAGGCGCTGCCCTGGTGGACGTCGTGGACTACGATCACTTGCGTCAGGTGGGGAGATATGGTAGGGGAGAGACGGAGGGAGGATCGAGAAGATCAGTGAGAGGAGAGGAGGCGAGGAGTGAGGGGGGCGAAGGGGCGAGAGGGAGATGAGGGAGGAAGGAGGAGAGGAGGTGACGTGTGTTTCAGGTTTCACCAGCTGCTTGGGTTTATTTCTATCCGGTAATCTTCATGCTTTCATTCATCATCATCAACATCATCATCGCCATCATCGGTAATGTTTCTCTCCTCCCCTGACTCTCAGACACTCGAACAATCTTTTTCTCACCTGTCGTTTCATCCCTTGTCCCCTCTCTTCTTCACTTATCCTCTTGCTCCCTCTCTCCCCTCCCCTCCCCTCCCTCTCCTTCTCCTTCCTCCCTCCTCCCCTCACCTTGCCCTCAGGCGAGGCGTACGTACGAGTCAAGGACGCTCAGGATCCGGACAACCCCATCTACTCGGGCCCTCCCTCGGAGAGGAAGAACAAGTTTCCCATCCCCTTCTCCACCCAAGTCTACCGCGGCCTCCGCCATCGGCTCGGCTTCGGCAAGGTGAAGGCGCCGGGGCCCTCGGGAGACTCTCAAGGTTCTTGCAGGAGGAGTATGAGATATCCAAGGAGAGCATCGTCGAAATCTTCTCGAAGGTGATCTCACCAACCTACACCTGCTGCTGCTCCTGCTGCTCCTGCGTCGACCTCCCCTTGCTGCTGCTGCTGCTGCTGCTGCTGCCGCCGCCGCCGCCGCCGCCGCCCTTAGCTTCTTCTCTTACTCAATTCCTCCTCCTCTTACTCCTCCTCCTCCTCTTGCTCTCTCCTCGTCCATCGTCCCTTCTCGGCCTCCTGTTCCAGTACATCTTCGCAATGTTCTCATCCTCCCCCGCTCTCCTTCTCCTCGCGCTCGATTGCGCTGACTCATTCCCTTCCCTCAGATTCAAAACGTGGACATGGATTGTACCACCGTCGAGGATCTTGTCTTCGCGCTCAACTCTCAGGTCTCGTCCATTCAACGTTTTCCCCCCGCCCCCACCCTCCCTTCCCTCCCACCCCCCCTGCCTCCCCTGCCTCCCCTTCCTTGCTCCCCTTGCTCCCCTTGCTCCCCTTGCTCCCTCCCTTCCCTCCTCCCCTCCTTCCCTTCTCTCCGGCCCGCTGCTCCTCTTGCTCTGGTCTGACGGAGGAGGTTCAGAGCCTCGGGCTCAACTTCGGTCACATCGAATGGCTCATCAAGCGCTACCCCTGCATAGTGCATGACATGGTGAGAGGAGGATGAGGAGGGGTGGGTGGTGGGTGTGAGGGTGGTGGGGGAGGGAAGGAGGAGGAGGAGGACTGAGAGAACTGAGAGGAGGAGAAGTAGAAGAGGAGGAGAAGTAGAAGAGGAGAAGTGGAGGAGTAGAGGAGGAGGAGGAGAAGAAGAGGAGGAGGAGAAGAGGAGGAGGAGAAGAATAGGAGGAGTGAGCAGGGACTTCAGCTGTTGGCTCAAGGTTGTGATGCAGGAATCGCTGGAGGAGCTTCTGGAAAAGAGATTGATAGCACGTGAGAATGGCTGTTCTGAAGCACTTCATCGCTCGCTCGCTCGCTCGCTCCCTCTCTCTCTCCCCTCCTTCCTTCCTGCCTTCCTTCCCGCCTGCCTTCCTCGCTCCCTCCCAACTCCCTCCTGTTTATTCCTTCCTCCCTCTCTCTCCCTCCCTCTCGCTCCCGTTTTCCCTCCCTCTCCTCTCCTCACGCTGGGTACTGTCTGGCAGCCAGCAGCACGTTGAACGAGGTCAAAGAGATCTCAGTGGCGGTGGAGAATGTTGTTAGCAGACAGGTGAGCGTACCATGTGCTTCTCACCTCCTTCAGCTGTTTCCCTGCTTCTCGCCTCCTCCAGCTGTTTCCCAGTTGGCTCCTACATGACCGCACGTGTATGACAGGCCTCCATCCATGCCAAGGTGGACGTTCTCATCAGGAAGATCATGGCGTGAGGAGCCAAGAGAGCGTCTCTTCCTTGTACACTAGAAGTGCATGCTAGCACTGCATGTGCTGTTCATCCAATCGCACCAGTCACTCGCAGTTTGATCGCTTTACTTCACATTCACGTTATCCTCTGTACACAAATCACTCCGCCGCCTCTCTCACTCTACCGACATTCGATGCAAGCAATGCCTCTCTTCACACAACTTCATTCCCTCCTTCTGTCTGCCTGCCCACCAACTGTCAGCACAAGGGAACAAGCATGTCATCCTTTTTAACAGTGTGATACTAGGACATCAATAACCAAACGAAAGGATGGAGAAAATCGGAGAAGCAGAGAGGAAGAAATCAAGATAGAGGACGGAACAGATAGATTTTCAAGATGAGTGATACAGTGAAGGGGTTGGATGGTGAGAGTGTAGGGTTCAGGGAGGGAGAGCAGCTTCTGATGAAAATGGTGGAGAGGGGAGGGTAGTGGAAGGAGAAGACAACGGAAGACGAGGAGGAGGGTAGTTGAAGAGGGAGACCGGCCAAGAAAGAAGAGGAGAGGAGAGGAGAGAAGAGGAGAGAAGAGGAGGGGATGAAGAGGTGGAGGAGATGGTAGGGGAGGGAACCTGTGAGACGTGCTCGAAGACGTTGGCTCCTGCTACTCCAGCGACGAAGTTGACGGCGGCGAAGATAAGTTGCGATCGCGGCATGGCGGGGCGAGTAATAAGTAGCAAGTGGGGGGATGATCCTGAAGGGGTGAGGGTGGTCAAAGAGACCTGAGGTAAGGGTGGGGTAGTGATGTACTGAAAAAGTACCTTAACATTCATGGGTACATTGAAGAATAAATAAGGGTAGGGGTAGGTATCGAATTGAATATATGGGGTCTGATAAAGAAGGGGTAGTATACTTGTTCGGATAGGGGGTGGGGTGATGCAAGGTGTGTAGTAGAAACGTGTAAAGGACCCACGGTGGGGTACAGATGAAGAGAAAGGTAGGGGTACTTGCAGGCATGTGGTGTACCAGAAGTCATAAGGGTGGGTACTTTCAGGGAAAATACACGGGTACTTTAAGGTGATCAGTGAAGGAGGTTGAGGGTGGTGGGGGTTACCCCAACTACACACGTGACGAGGTAAAACAAGCAGGAGGTACGTAGAGGAGCCGTTGAGGAGGAGGAGGGGGGGGAAGGGAGGAGGAAGAAGAGAGAGAGAGAGAGAGAGAGAGAGGAACGGGAGTGGTGGAAGAAGAGGAGGAGATGAGAGGAGAGGGGAGAGAGGAGAGGGAGGGGAGAGAGAGGATGAGATGGGATGGGAAGGGAGGGGAGGAGGTGGAGGGAGAAGGGAGGAGACGAGACAAGAGGAGAGGGGAGAGAAGGGAGGGGAGAGATAGTTCGAACAATGAAGAGGTACGTAGACGAAGGAGGGGAGGGGAGGGGAGGAAGAGAGGGAGCAGGGGAGGAGACGAGACAGATCAAACAATGAAGAGGTACGTAGGCGAGCCGTTGAAGAAAGGAGGAGCAGAGGAGGACGAAAGGAGCACGAGAGGGAGGGGAGGGAAGGAGAGAAGGGGGAGGAAGGGGAGAGATCAGGAGAGCAGAGCAACGGAGTGCAGATAGAGTCGATACGGAAGAAGAGAGTGAGTGAGAAGTATAGGAATTAATACAGCAGTGAAAGTGGAGATGATTGCGAGGAGTAGCAAGTCCGGTAGGGATGGAGTTTGTTGTTGTATGATAGACGAAGTTTGGTTTCGAAGTAGAAGAGAGGAGAGAATGGAGTCGCTGGACTTGTCAAGAAGTCACGGCGAGTGAGAGTGAGTTAAGTCACGGCGAGTGAGAGTGAGTCAACAAGGACTGGAGACAAAAAGATCTCTAGCCATGTCGCTAGCGTCTTGCGGGCGAGGAGGGGAGTTCTCAATTAAAGCTCATTCCATTTTGAATCTTTGCTATGACTGCCCTGCCTCGACTTTGGGTCCACATCTGATAGCTGACGGCTGAGATCGGTGACTGTTTGCCTGTTTGTTGTCTCTTACGAACATCCTGTGAGTTCTCTTACGAACATCCTGTGAGTTGATCGCGAGAGAGATCGAGAGAACCAAGAGGAAGAGATCGAACACGAGGAGGCAGTGACGATGGAGGGGGAAGGGATGGAGGAAACTTGCAGGTCCTCCAAGGGACAAACTTGTGCTGCTGCTCCCTCAAGGCAGCAGGCAGTGAGGGACCGGGATAGGAGCAGAGGATGGTTGCAGGATCAGCCGCCTCGCAGCGCCACTACCACGAGGATAGAGGAAGGGAAGGGTGGGGGGAGAAAGGGAGAGAGGGAGAGAGAGGGAGGGGGGGAGAGAAGAGGGGAGAGCGGAGGGAGGTACTCATGCCATGAGCAACATTGAGTGTCAACCCATCAAACGAGTTAGTCTCGTCGCGTCAGTTTCCTTCATTCCCCTTAATCTACACCTCTCATAGCTCTTCCAGCAGCTCCTCCAACCTCAACATATCCTCGTCCACGTCCTCTGTCTCACTTCCTCCTGCTCCACTCCCTGCAAGTTGAGGTGAAGAGGCGGCATGAGGAAACAAGTCGATCGAGAAGCCTTGAAGCCCGTCTCCTCCTCCTCCTCCTCCTCCTCCTCCCAGGTTCGTATACGGGCTGACGAGTGCGCTCTCCCGCAACACTGTGGCAGAGGGCAGGTTGGAACCAGGAGTCGACTGTCTCGACTTCGCAGCTGACCTGCGCATGCTCGACTCGAGGACGTCAGTGTCAAGTGACAGCAGGAAGTCAGTGAATTGTCGCTGCAGGGAGCACAAGGCCCTCATCGCCTCCTCCTCCCTCTTCACCGCCCAGCTCTCGTTCCTGCTCAGGTCCTCGCAGTGCTTCTTCAGCCTCTCCAGCTCCTCCCCGAGCTTCGCGACCTCTGCCTCCTCGTCGTTGCTGGGAGGGCGGGTGACTCGCCCCTCTGCGCGGAGCAGCTCGAGCTCCTCCATGATCCTGTGCAGCGTCTCGTTCTGGTCCTGCAGGCTCATGATGCTCGTCTCCAGCGCCGTCAGCTTCCCTCGAGCTTCCTCCTCCCTCCGACGCGCCTCCTGCTCCCTCGCCTGCGCCTCCTTGTACATGCTTGTCTGCTTCTCCCCTTGCCTCTCCCACCATTGTCTCAGCTCCTCCAGCTGGTAGTCGTGCTCCTGCTGCTTCGTGTCCAGAACCGCGAGGAACTTGTCGCTCAACCGCTGCAGCTCCTTCATCAGAGGCTCCTCCTTGGGCTCCTTGGGCTCTTCCTCCTTGCGCGTCACCTCCTCCTTGCGCTTCACCTCCTCCTCCTTGCTCTTAACCTCCTCCTTGCGCTTCACCTCCTCCTCCATGCGCGCAGCCTGGAGGCTTCGGATCATCTCCTTGATCTCGTTGAGGTTGTCTCGGAACTCATCCACCAGCTCGAAGTCTTCGTCCTCCTCCGCGTCCAGGGGAGGGATGGTCTCCAGAAACGAGACCTTCCTCACGCTGGCCTGGCTGAGTTGCGGGTAAGGAGAGGGGGCAGCAGGGTAGGGGGAAGGGCTAGCAGGGTAGGGGGAAGGGCTAGCAGGATAGAGAGAGGCAGCAGTAGTCGTGGTGGTGGTGGTGGTCGAGGAAGCGGCGGCGGCGGCGGCGGCGGCTGGCAGAGCAACGGGCGGAAGTTTCCTCTCACGGTACTTGATGGTATCGGCCCCTGAGTACTCCACCTCCGGGGCCCGGGGCTCCGAGAAGCTCTCGGCCCACGAGGAGTTGCGCGAGAACTCGTCGACGGGAGGGCGAAGAGACTCGCTGGCCCTGCCTCCCTCCTCCGACATGGTCGTGCTCTCCGAGCAGAAGCTGCTCGAGGCGAGCGACCGGAAGCTCCCTTGGCCCGCAAGGGCACCGGCGCTGGCCCGCTGCGTCCTGGAGCGATCGAGCTTCCTGAGGGCCTCCTGCCACTCGCACTTGTCGCTCTTGAGGAGGAAGGTCTCCATGATGCCCTTCCCTTTGATCTCGCGGCCCCCGCAGGAGACGAAGTCGAAGAAGTCCTTGCCCACGTCGTACGTCGCCTTGCTCACATGGACGCACATGGGGAACCCGTTGCTCTCCATGCGGCTCGACGTGTTGACCGTGTCGCCGAAGAAGCAGTAGCGAGGCATCTTCGACCCCACCACCCCGGCAAACGCTGGGCCGCTGTGAACCCCGACGCGGATCTTGATGCTCTCGCCCTCTAGGCTGGGATGCATGATCTCCTTCGCCGCCTCGATCATGTCCAGCCCCATGTTCAGCACTCGCTGCGCGTGATCGTCCGTCGAGCTCTCCTCGCCGCTCTCGTGCCCTGCCACCACCATGTACGCGTCTCCGATCGTCTCCACCTTGTAGCAGCCGTGCTTGTCGCAGAGCTCGTCGAAGGAGTTGAACATCTTGCTCAGCATCTCAATCAGTTTCTCCGTCTCGATCGACGCCGCCATGGAGGTGTAGCCCACGATGTCGGAGAAGAGGATCGAGACTTGCTGATGCCTCTCCGTGATAGGGAGGTTGCAAGTTCCCACCTTGAGCTTCTGAATCACGTGATGCGGCAGCATCTTGTGCAGCAGCTCGTTCGACTTGGCGTGCTCCATCTCCGTGTGCCAGGCATGTTTCACTTTGAGCTGAGAGAGCAGAGTTATTCAACCTCATGTCTCCTCCTCCTCCTCCTCCTCCATGACCTCCTCCTCCTCCTCCATGACCTCCTCCTCCTCCATGACCTCCTCCTCCTCCTTCATCGTCTCCTTCATCGTCACCTGAGTCGTGATGCGCGCCATGAGCTCTTGCCGGTTGAACGGCTTCGTGACGTAGTCCGTTCCTCCCGAGTCGAACCCCTTGCAGATGCTCGCCTCGTCGTTCTTGGCCGACACGAGGATCACAGGCAGGAGGGTCCGGGGGAACAGATGCCGCAGCTGCTCGCAAACTTCGTACCCGCTCATGATTGGCATCATCACGTCCAACAGAACCTGCCCAGCAGCATCAGAGCAAGTGACAACCGTCAGAGTTTTGCACCAGGTCAGGCAAGTAGGAGCGCTGCTGGAGCTCTGCTAGCGCCTCCATGCCATCCATGCAGCAGGTCACCTGAGACGAAAGTTAGGTGCCTTGCGAGAAGGATGGAGAAAAACATGAGATATGATGATGATGATGATGATGATGATGATGCTGATGATGATGCTGATGATGCTGATGATGATGATGATGATGATGATGATGATGATGATGATGATGATGATGATGATGGAGAAGAAAAAGATTTACCTCAAAGCCCATGGGTTTCAGAAGGTTCTCGACAACCATCTGATTGACAGGATCGTCGTCCACTGAGAGAACTTCGTACTTGCCATAGATGTCGTAATGGCACTGCAAGGAACAAGTCAAACAAGCATCAACTCTTTCTCCACCCAACAGCTTTCTCCTCCTCCTGCATTCCCCTTCTCTCTCCCTCATCCTCCTCGCTCGTCGCTTACCTGGAAGACTTCATGGAGAGAAACTTCGGATCCTACGGACTTGTTGAACTCACTGCTGCCACTGCTGCAACGTTAACGAAAACAACGAGGTCAGACAGACGTACAGGAACGATCTCTGCTTGCGCGCTATCTCCATGCCTGCGTCCTGCCGTCACTTCCCGCAACTTCACATTCCTCGTCACCTCTCGCGGGTTTCGATGCGGACGGAGGATGCGCAGCTTGCTGAGAGTTCCCCTTCTGCTCTCCTCCGCTGCCTCCCTCCCCCTTCTCCATCCGGTCAGTCATCACCAGGCAACCTCTCCTCTCCTCCTCACCCCATCGCCAGGCACCGCTCCTCCACATCGCGAGCAGACGACTTCCTGCCCCTTCACCACCATCGAGTTCTGTGCGTCTTGAAGCTGCTCTTGGGTCAGCCGCTCCTTCTTCTCAAGCTGCTCGATCTCCTTCCTCCAGCTATCTCTCAGCCGCAACTGCAGCGCGAGGGTCAGAGCGGAGGCTTCGGCCCTCCTTCCCTCTACCTGCACGTTGATCCGAGCGTTGAGCTCAGCACTGCGCACGGGCTTCGTGATGTAGTCGTTGCATCCTGCCTCCAGGCCCAGCACGACGTCATGGTCGTTGTACCTGGCGCTCACCTGCAGCCAACGGGATCAGAGGAGGGGAGGGCAAGGGAGGCTGCGCTAGTCCCACCATGATGATGGGGAGGAAGTGGCAGGGATACTTGGTCCTGAGCTGCTTGCAGACGTCGATGCCTCCCTGCTCCGGCATCATCATGTCCAGAAGGACGATGTCCGGGATGATCTCTGTCTCGTTCAGCCGCTCCAAAGCCTCAGCGCCGCTCATGCACTGAATCATCTGCGATGCTCCGTCAGCTCTTGCGAAGAGTGGAGAAGGGAGATGAGGTGGCAAGGAGTAAGGGAGGGAGGTAGAAGGGAGGAGAGGAGAGGAGGGAGAGAGGGAAGAGAGGAAGGAGGGAGCGAGCGAAGAGAGGAAGGAGGGAGGGAGGGAGGGAGCGAAGGAAACCTTGATCCCGCGGGTTGCCAGCACATTCTCGAGCACGAGGTGATTGACCAGGTTGTCGTCGATGGACATGACGGTCACAGACTCGCTAATGGACAGCCGACTGCGGAGAGAGAGCGCCTTGCCGTTCCCGGACAACTGGAAACTCATCAATACGCGTCGAGCACTTCCTCCCGTCTCCTCCTTTTTCACTTGTCCTCTCCTCCTCCCTCCACCGCCTGCTCTCTTCTCTCACCGAATCTCGATCGTCCAGCTCCTGCAGATCGTCATCTGAGTTCACCTCCTCCGGTAGGGAGGCAGTGATCGCTTCTGATGCTGCTTCTGCCGAGTCCTCCTGCTCCCTCCCATCAGTCTTGCCCTCTTCACACTGCGGGCACACACCTCTGACATATGCAACTTGCTCTTCCCCTCTCGCTCTGCGTGCATGCGGTCATCACATAGGAGGAGGAAAAGGAGGAGGAGGAGGGGGAGGAGGAGGAGGAGGAGAAGGAGGAGGAGAGGGAGGAGGAGGAGGAGGAGGAGGAGGGTTACCAGAACCATTCACATTCACTTCGCTCTTGATGGGGAGAGTGAATCTAATGAGGGAGTCAGACAAGGAGAGGAAGAGAGGATAATCTCACTTGAAGATGGAGCCCGACGACTCCCCGCCGAACACTGACTTCACTCCCACACTCCCTCCGTGCTTCTCCACCTTCTCCCACGTCAAACAGACAGCACGCCAACTCATCTTCTCCCACCAACTCCCGCACAAGCGCCAGCCCGAGGCCCGTCCCTCCGAACTTCCTCGTGGTAGACATGTCGACCTGGCACGCGCACCTCTCAGCCCAACCCTCCTCCTCCTCCTCCTCCTCCCCTCACCTGCTTGAACGCTCCCCAAATCGTCTCCAGCTTGTCTTCAGGGATGCCGATACCGGTGTCATGCACCTCCACGGTGACCTCGTTGGGACCGGTCTGACGTCCTCTGACCTTTATGCTCCCCTTCTCTGTGAACTTGATTGCGTTGCTCACGAGGTTCGTGAGGACCTGAGAGACTCTGCCGGAGTCTGCGACGATAGTGGGGAAAGACGGTTCGATTTCGTTCACCAACAAGACTCCCTTCTTCACCAGCGGGGCCAGGATGTCGAGCACATGCTCAGTGACGTCTCGGAGAACGACGACCTGCAAACTCAAGGGTCAGGAGGGGATCGACGAGCAAGAGGAACAAGGGCAGGCGAGCACAAGATCGGCTGCTTCACCTCTTGGCGCATGACGAGGGTCTGCTTCCTCAGCGACGCAGCGTCCAGGATGTCGTTGACTAGACTTGCCAGGCGGTTACCACTGGACATGATCACTTTCAAAGTCTTGGCGAACGACTGAGCGTTGAGATTGCTCGTTTCGCACATGCGGAGCAGCGAGTCGGAGAGCCCGATGATGCCGTTGAGAGGCGTCCTCAACTCGTGCGAGACAGCAGCGAAGAACTCTTCCTGCGCCTTCTGAAGGTCCTGCGATCGCTTCAGGTTCGATATGTTCTGCTCGACCACCAGGATGCAGTTGAGGCCCGAGACAGGATCGCAGACGGCGCGGAAGCGCATGATGTACCACAACTCCTTGCATGGCACAGTTGGATCGGGGCAGAACTTCCTCTTGCGCACTTCCCACTCCAGCACTTCGTCACCCGGCCGGAGATCCGAGACTCTCTTCCAAACGTCGACCTCCTGCTGCGGAGTATTCCACATGATGCTCTCGAACACTGCTTTCAGGTTCATCTCCTCCTTGCTGCGAACCCTCCCCGAACCCACGTAGAACTCTTCGGCAGCCACGCTCATGAACACGGTCTTGCCCTCGAGCGAGAAGAGGATGGAGATGTCGTCAATGTGACGCAGCAGCTCGTATGACCGGCGAGCGTTGTCAAACGTCTTGCTCCTCTCGCTCTCGTCCCGCCTCGAATGTTCAAGGTCTGTGGCTGACGCGATGACCAGGGCGTACGTCTTCGCCTCTTCCTCCGTCGGCAGCTTCACCTTGATTGGCCTGATCTCCATGTTGTAGGTGAGAGGCTCCCCGCCCGAAGGATGCAGCGTTTTCAGCTGATGATCCGTCTCGTTCCGGACTTGCACCTTCTCGTACACCGAGTCCATGTACTTCCGCGCTGCAGGAGAAGTTCCAGTCTGGAGGTCCTTGGAGACGAACTTGTGTTCCACGGGCGTCAGCTCAAGCACACATGGGGATGGGAGGAAACCTCTTCGAACGTGCAGTTCCAGTAGTAGCAGGTCCTCTTGCAAGCCCAAAGATGCCTTTTCAACGGGTTTCAGCATAGCAGGAAAGCTCCCAGAAGCACGAACCTGGAATGTGCTGGATTGAAGTCCATGACAAAGAAGGGTTGTTCCAACTCGTTGAGAACCTGAAACAAGACATTCGATGAGGGGAAATAAAGTCACAGTCTCAACAAACCTCGAAATCCTCGAAACCTTTGTATTCTCTCTCGAGAATACCTGCTTGTTTGATCACAGGTGGGAAACAAGGAAATGCTGCGATGATTCTGACCATTCCGAAGGTCTTTCTTCTCGACCATGGCTACAGATAGACTTGGACTTGAACAAAAATCTGCATGCGATGATCAGAACACGACCAGATACTTACAACTCAAGTCAAGATTGTCAAGGCTTCTCACTTGTCAAGGTCCTCCAGGCCTTTCCGTCACCACAAGACCATGTTCAACGTAAGCACCTGCATCTGCAGAACCGTGTCAAAACTTCTCGAGAACCATTCTGATCAATCCATCTCTCGAGGCGAGAGGGAGGAACGGCAGGAGAATCTCAACCTTGCAGGGGCCTCCACAATTCCTCACATTTCACTGAATGTAAAACCTAATCCTCCTCACTAACCCAATCCGACGGATTCATATCTCAGCGTACAATCTCCCTTCATAATCGAATCAAGTATCTTGCCATTGATTCATCACCTCCGCTTTTCATTCACGGCAACCATTCAAACGACCCAAGCACTCCAAAGGCGTCTATTCCTCTCTGCCAGCCATCATAGCTGCTTGTCAATTCAACCTGGACTCAAGACATCCAGTGACATTCAAGCCTTTTTATCTGATTACATTGAGGATCTGCTCCTCCACCAAATAGGATCGACTCGAGCTCCTTTGCTCCAAGCGAAACTGCTACCGTGTAGTCTTTCAATACCCTGGGACATGCAGTCAAACTAGCATGACCCACAGCGTCTGCTCTTTCTAGTTCCTACTCCTGCCGCACATTGTTTCATGTTCATGTTCTGCTCAATCCTCTCGCGTTTCCTCGCTCCTCCCCTCTCTTCCTCCCTCTCCCTGACTCCTTCCCGATTCCTCTCCCGAAAAGCTGTTTGGCCGCCATGTCTTGCCGCTAGGAGCTATGGAGCGCTGGTAACGGGACTTCAACGGAAATGCTAAAACTATATTGAAAATGGAAAGGAGTGCTTTGAATAAGTATTGTTGAGAACCGTTGCTGTTTTAAATCTTTGGGTGTCAGCTGTCAGCATGATCTTGAGTACCCTGGTGGTGGTTTTTCCTGATGGGATCCGGGGGAATGAGGGGGTACGGTGGTATCTGCGCAGAACCATGGCAACCTCAAGATCACGCTCCTTTTACTACAACTCCTGTCTAGGTACCACCACCCCCTATATAACGCAAAAATGTTTACAAAAATGGGGGATATCTAAAGACCCTACCCTGTAACGATTCCTCACTTTACAACCAAGTGTTTAAAAAGTTCGATATATGAAATAAATATGTTTTATCTTTCTTTACAATTCCTTTACAGGGAATTCTTTTCTGAGAATAGAACACTCTCGGCACCGCGGTCAGCGGTCTCACTTACAACATTATATAAACAGTCTCTGCTACTATATAAAACTACTTCTATCATATAATCGGCCGTTTTTAAAAGTCTGCGTGCATTCCCTCCCCCCGTCCCCCCGAACTCCTCGGCGGGTCACCCGGGGCCGAGCGGAACTTCGGAGCCCGTCGGGCCCGGGCCCGGCTTTCACTATGTAATCCGAACAATAAACGACCATGGAATTTCTATGTGAATTTCACTGCCCTCTTGATGTTCTATCGTACATGGATGAGGCGGGCTGTATGTTTGCAACACCGGTGCTATGTATGGGTTTGTACCCGTGGTATCCTCTAGAACATCGATCTGCAACTGCAGGTTGTGGTCCGATGTTGAGGGGTGGTGATGTGCAGGGTGAGCTTAAAATGGGGGGTACGTGTCGAAAAGGGTGGGTAAGGGCCAGCTGCACGGCAAATATACTCGTAAAGTACCGGGTAATTAAAGGTAGATAATAGGGTTATTTTCTTGAGGGTGGGTACGATCCCTGTGCACGTTTTGGTTGCAGAGGGTTGTCAAGCTGGATGTTCTTTCTGATGGTGGGGTACTCATTTTTCCTAGTACCGGTGTAGGGAAAGCGGACTAAGTCTGGGGGGTGGAGGAAATTGAAGCTCAAAGGGGGTGGGGTGGATCAGTTTGGTCGGTTTCGGGGTTCTAGGATGGTGGGAGGGTTGAAGATTGCGATAGCGCTACTGCTCATGCTGCTGATGATGGTGGCGGCAGCTGTTGAGTTCAGAGGAAGAGGAGAAACCCTCAACGACCATCCCCACAAGGTACTCCGTCTAGTCCACCGGCCCTCGCCATGAATCCCTTCTGTTGCGTCTTTGCTCGTGTGTGTTGGCGGACGTTTCAGTATATCTGAGGCGTGTTATATCATTGATGCATCTTTGTGTTGTATCATCGATGCATCCTTGTGTTGTATCATTGATGTGCCTATTTGTTGTATCATTGATGGTCTATGTGTCTGGCGAACGTGCACAGCCTGGCTTTTGTTTGAGAGTAGCAAATATCAGCTTGCACACCATTCGTTTGTCGTGGACATGATGGACTAATGAACTTCTGCAGAAAGCCTGCTTTGCACCTTTAAATGACAGGACCGAGCAGAAAGGCGGTTCTCGTCGTGCTGCCCTAGCAGCCATTCTTTCTGGTTCGGAGCCTCACCATGGTATTTTCGACTCTGATGTGCTTGTGCTTTCAGAACTGACTTGTAATTGCAGGCGCTCAGAGAGCTCGGGTTGACAAGCTCGACCTTAGGGACCTCAGGATCCCGCACATGAACATCAGGAAGAAGTGAGTGCAGGAAGTCTCAGTGAGCCTCTTCAAGGCGTCTTTGAGTTCTCAAGTTACGATCGTTAACTTGTGAATGAAGGGAGTGTAAATTACACCTTCACATGTTGTTTGGGATCGGCTGAGTACTTGGAGCCGAGAAGACAGCAGGACTTATCATGCTTGCAAACTTTCGTGAGGGTCAGAACAGCACCGTCCTGTACATTGTTCTTCTCTTCACTGCCGTGACGGTGTACGGAGTACCGTAAGCTGAGCGGCCGCCAGTTCGCCTTGCCACTGAGCACAGTGGCGGCGGCACTGCGGCAGATTCGAGTCCACTCGGAGTTCCCTTGCCCACCATCACCGACGTCCGATCCTCAGCGGCTCGTTGCCCCGTGATATTGGACGGCCAGTGCAAAAGTTCAGGCCGGGCCCCGGGCCCGGCGGCCGCTGAGCGCGGCCCGCCCGGCCGGGCCCCGGCCCGGCCTCTGCTCTTTACTCAAAGTGAAGTTAAAGATCAGTACGAGGACAATCAGGAGAGTCGAGGAGGCTTGACCCTGACACTGTCGCATAGGCCAAACGGCGAGAAGAGAAAAGACAGCGAGAACCAAACCTAATCCTGCCGACTGCTGTCCCCCAAACTTAACTGAGTACACTGATGAAACTCCGATGCCGGCCCGGTTCAAAAAAATATGTCAACCCCACCCCCCTCCACGTTTGACATATCAAGCTGGACCCCTCCTAACGACCTATGAGTACCCACCCTTGTCTGGGTAACTGATTTTTGACTCTCGGAACGACCCTGGTTGGTGTCTCCATCTTTACTAATGGAAAATGGGGAATGGCGTCCGGTGACTGGCACAGCAGTCGCACCGAAGTCCTCCTCTCCTCTCTCTCTCCTCATTCTCCTCTCTCTTCTCCTCTCTGTATCTCCTCCATCTCGTCCTTCACCTTCAAATTCCTTCTGAAACCAATTCCTTTCTTTCATGTACACCAATTCCAAGTTGCCATCATCCACTGTCATTACAGGTTCTGACTGAGGCTCCTTCTTCCTGTGTCGTCTCCTCTTCTCCCTCGGAGGACATCTCAAAGTTCGTTCTCCTCTCCAACACATTTGTTCGCTTTGTCCCACTTTCTGCTCAACCCCCACTACTCTTCATTTTCTCCACTTGGTCGCAGAGGCTTCATCTCCGACCTCTTCCGCCATCTCCTTCTCCTCGTTCATTCTTCTCGTTGTCCTCGCCTCTATACTCACCTTGCAAAAACGATTCATTGGAGGGCATGTGTGCATGAGATGAAACAGCAGCTGTCCCAGGATATGAGTGAGCGATCCTGGAGATACGAGTATACTGATCGTTAGGTCTAACTCTTCATGTCAGATTGTTACAGCACGGATTACTTGCTGATTGTCGGAGCAAGATGTGACTGTCAAGGATCCATTGGGTTGCAACTCTTCCTTGTAGTCGGTGCCGTCCAACTACCGTAGAGTGACAGACGTGTTCACAGCAACGGGGCTGACCCTCCCAGGCGGGTTGTGGTATGGGCTACTCCAATAGGATCTCCAACGATGAGGCAGAGCAGGAGGGGCCTGTACCGCAACAACGACAGGAGGAAGAGAACGAACAGCAGCAGCAAGAGCAGCAGCACTTGCAGCAGCAGCAGCAGCAGCAGCAGCAGCACTCGCAAGAGCAGGAGCAGGAGCCGGCCCGGAGGAAGCCTGCGAAGCTACATCCGATGGAAATACAAGAGCAGGGCTCTATCTCTGCAAGCAACGTCAGCGTGCGTGATGGAAGACTCGCCTCTGAGACGAGCGTCACCCTCCTTTCCCATCGCCCTCCCCTCCACATCACCAGCAACTGGCGCCGCAACAGGGCGCAAGTGGACAAGACCATGCGAAACGTGCGAAGAGGAGCGGCACTGTGCGGGCTGATGGGATGCGGTTTTGCCGTGGCCTGCGACGAGCTGATCCTGTACGGGGTAGACGCGCATGCTGCTGCTTGCAACCTGCTGAAGGCTGCCAACACGATCGCGACGTGCGCGGCTCTGAGTTTCCTCGTCTACTTCTACTTGCTCAACGGGCTGCTGCAGCGAGTTAACCTGCACCTGCGCCACCTGAAAGCACTGGATACCGACTTCTCTCTCAGCTCGGTAGCTCTTTCTTCCTCCTTCTGGGCAGAGCTGGTGGTGTGCGGACTTCACCTCCCTCCCATGACCACGTTCGAGCTCGGAGTGTGGAATTGGAACAACTTCATCCTCTACCGAGGAGAGACGATCCTTGCAGTTATCAACACCTTCCGGTTGTACCTGCTGTGGCCCGTGCTCAAGGACCAGGTGCTGCAGAGCCTCCCCAAGAGACACACCATCTCCTCTTTCACCAATATCCCCATGGGCTCCTCCTTCGTCGTCAAGAAAGTCATCCGCAGCAAGTTCTCCCTCCTCTTCATCACCATCTTGTGGCTCATCAGCGTCTTTCTCTTCGCCTTCTGGTTCCGCTCCTTCGAGGCGACTGCTTGCCAGCTGCCTGGCTGGCAGCATCTTGACTGCAACAGGCCAGAGGCATCGACCTGGGAGATCAACTTCAGAGGCAAGGAGAAAGCACGAGTTTCTCCTGCTCCTTGCTGAGTTTGTTCCTGCAGAGTTTGAGAAGAAGAACGATCTGTGGTATCAGAACGCGGTGTGGGCGATGTTTGTGACGAGCACGACGATAGGTTACGGTAAGCCTTCACTCCTCGCCCTTGTTGTCCTCCCCCTCTCCCCCCCACCTCGTCTTGCTCCCTCGATTGCCTTCTGATCTCCGGACATGCCCCTGCTACCTGCTCCTCTCTCTCCCCTCCTCCTTGGCTCTCGCTGTACCTGCTGCTGCTGCTGCTGCTGCTGCTGCTGCTGTACCTCCTGCAGGGCCTACTTGCTGCTCGTATTCTTTCTCCTCCTCTCCTTCATCTTCTATCATTCGCCCTATCCTCCTCCTCCTCCTCCTCCTCCTCCTCCTCCTCATCCTCCTCCTCCTCATCCTCCTCCTCCTCCTCCTCCTCCTCCTCCTCCTCCTCCACCTCCACCTCCACCTCCACCTCCACCTCCACCTCCACCTCCACCATCCTTCTCTTCTGATCCAAACTGCAGGTGATATTCTCTGTACAACCCACATGAGTCGATTCGTCGCGATCCTCACGGTAATGTTGGATAACTTGTCCACTTGCTCCCTCCTGCTGCCGTTCCCTCCTCTTCCTCTCCTCCGCCTTTCTCTCGCTCCTCCTTCCTCACTCACTGACGTCCTTGACCCTCCTCATCCTGAACCTCCTCGCTGATCTGAGCGCAGGCGGGGACCGGTCTCATCCTGGTTTCACTCATGACGGCGGCGTTTCAGAACGCGCTGCAGTGGACGGAGGAGGAGATAGCGGCGAACCTTGTGGCAGACAGAGAGATCGCGCGACTGAAGGCCAGGGAGCATGCGGCTCGACTTGTGCAGATTAAGTGGAAGGGGCTGAGGGGAGACCGGGGGAGGGCGGAGCAGCGAGCAGCGAGCTTGCGCGCGGCGTTCATGAAGCAGAAGAAGAGGACGGAGGTGGACCTCGACGACTGTCTGGCTGACTCGGTGAAGGTAGATCAGATCTCCTCGTCTTCCAAGAAGATTCACGGGGCTCTGCTGGATATTCTCAAGAAGACCACCCCTGAGGTCGAACATTTGTCCCATCCCCGCAAACTCTTCCGGCGCAACAGCAACCTCAGCCAGTTCGTGCAGGGGGCGCGGCAACGGAACGAGCAGAGGAAGAGGAGGTCGAGCTTGGGGCAGGAGGAAGGCATGGGAGGGTCCATGAAGCTGAAGAGGAAGCAAGCGAGAGAGCAGAGGAGAAAGACGTTCAACAACATCCTCTCGTCGCAGCTGAAAGTCCTCGCAGAGCAGAAGCGATCAGACTTTGACGCGAACCTCGAGCACTCGATAACGATGATGGAGACGAAGACAGAGGGCGCGAGGGCCTCGTTCCTCCGAGTGCTCTCCTTCAAGCCCGATCCCAACAAGATTAGGGACTGGACCAGCTGCAGGAAGGAGGTTGAGACCAGGCAGCTCCTGCTCAGGATCCTCTCGTGCGTCACCAGCCTTGTCGGGCTGCTCGCTGCGGTGCTGACGAACGAGCTGGTGCTGGGAGGAACGTCTCCTCGCGCCCCTGCCATCAACGCGCTCAAGTGGCTGAACTCGATCGCGACCGTCGCATGCTGCATCTTCCTCTACTCCTCCTACGTCTTCCTCATCCGAGCCAAGCGCATCGACCGTCACGTGCAGCTGGGGAAGAAGCTTGACCTCCGCGTCCCCTTCCGCTCCGTCGCGAGGAGGAAGGGACTGTGGGTTGAGCTGCTCGTGTGTCTCCCGCATGCACCTCCTCACGTGGCGGTGGAACTGGAGCTGGTGTGGATGGGGAACGTGGTGGTGTATGCGGGAGAGACGGTCGGGTGCGTGTGGAACGCGCTGAGGATGTACTTGACGTGGTCGCTGGTGATGTTCCTCGTCCTGCGGGAGATCCCGATGAGGAGCGTGATCTCCCACCACACGCGCGTCTCCTTTGACGCTCTCTTCTGCCTCAAGCGCCTGCTCAACCGCTGGACCGGCTTCAACGTCATCCTCATCGCCTGGTTCGTCATGATGATCATCTTCGGCTACCTGTACCGCTCTGTCGAGTTCTCCTTCTGCCTCCTCCCCTCCGCCACCAGCGCCGCCTGCCAGCAGCCGCAGGCGACGGAATGGGAGGTGGCAGGAAGCAAGTTCGGCAAGCAGAACGACGTCTGGCTGACCAACAGCTTCTGGTTTATCTTCGTCACTATGACCACCGTCGGCTATGGTTATCCCTCCTCCTCCCCCTCCATCCTCCATGCCTCCTCCTCTTCCTTCCTCCTCTCCCTCCCAATGTTCCCTCCTGTTCCCTCTCTCCTCTCTCCTCCCTCCTCCCTCCTCTCGGACGTCCAACCGTTTCCTTTCTTCCTCTTTCTCCATGCCTCCCCCTCCTCCCTGCTTCACTCCCCTACTGCTCCACGAGCTTTGCCTGACGTTGGAGCAGGGGAGCAGGTCCCTACGACCATCCTGGGGCGTCTCATCGCCTTGTTGGCTGCCACCTTCGGCATCCTCTGCGCGTCGCTGACTACAGCAGCCCTCGGCAACCTGATCCTCTTCACTCCTGCTGAGTTCTCCGCCATCGCCATCATGGAGAGAGAGAAAGCGCGAGAAGACCTTCGAGTCATCGCCGCAAACATGTCAACTCCTCCTCCTCATCATCATCATCATCATCATCATCATCATCATCACCATCACCATCATCATCATCATCATCATCATCATCATCATCTTCATCATCATCATCATCCCCAGCAGCAGCGTCCCTTTTCCGTCCTCATACTCTCTTCAACTTTGCTCTTCCACCTTTTCCTCCCTTCTCCCTTTTCGCTCCTCCTCGTCTTCCTCTCCTCGTACATATCCTCTCCTCCTGCACTCTTTCCTCTCCTCCTCTGGCCCCTCATCTTGCGCTGACTGGTGAATCAGGATTCGCGCATGGTGGCTGCGACAAAAGGGGAGGAACAAGGAGGAGGAGGAGGAGGAGGAGGTGACATGCGCTGCGTGGGAGAGGGAGGCTGACGTTGAGTGAAGGAGCAGCGGGAGGGAAAGACATTGCGGAGACTGTTTCTGCATGCCAAGGTGAGAGAAGGGGGAGAGTAGATGGATGAAGATAATAGAGAATATCACGAGCACAAGGAGAGGGATGGGTGTCAAGGAGAAGGAGGGGGAGGAGGAGTGGAAGGGGAGGAGGAGGAGGAGGAGGAGGAGGGGGAGGAGGAGTGGAAGGGGGGGGGGGGCGGGGGGGGGGGGAGAGAGGTAAGAGACCTTTTTTCT